AGTATGTTATCACTCTCCGTAAGTGCATGTGTGATTATGCTGGCAGTAAATAATGACTGTACTACTCATTGGATAAGCACTCTCTAAGTGAATATGTGGTATAAGCGATGCATAATAGTTGAGTATACATACTATAAAGCCTAAGTCACATATGGGTTCGAGGCAGAGTGTTAAACGTATTTCAGTAATTCTACATAGAGCTCAAGTGAGTGTATAACAAACTCGGCTATGAGACTGCAATCTCATACCAATACTCAAAGAAACTGTTGGGCACAGCATCACAGATGGTATTCTTTATTAGCAGCAGTGATAATGAAAAAAATACATATGATACATTAACAATACAATTTTATATAGGTAGGTGTATGAGTTGCATACTTAGCTAGAGCAGTATATATATATACATATATATAGGTACTAAGTATTAGTGTGTATAATGTAAATATATATATATATTATATATATTATAGTATATTTATATATATAGAGAATGAGAGAGGAGAGAGAGAGAGAGGAGGAGAGAGACGAGAGAGAGAGAGAGAGAGAGAAGAGAGAAAAGAGATTTCATAATATACCCATTCATTAGTCTCATTACTCACTCAAGATCATGTGTGATTGTTATATATTATGTCTCATAAACTCAATATTCAAATCTCAATATTCTTGTGATCAGTTCATTAATCATATCTATCTATATCTATTTATGATCATATAATTTGCTTATAATTAATTGGTATTATTTGACACCCTCCGCTCAACTAGATAAACTCAATCATCACAATGATGATTTGAATATATATGCACACAACGATTTAACTAAATACTCCAGATATTAGGACTGGTCTGATGAAATATTGATGAATATCAGTCTGTGGCCAATCGAAGAGCTTAGCTCTGTTACCATTATATCAATAATTGCTTACAAATCTTATGCTCAAATATTATGGAAATCACATAACGAATAATTCCTCTCATTCATCCTATGTATATATTCATTCTATTGAAGCTACTCTCGATAGCACGCGCCCAGTAGTATAGTCAAGTACATTCTTTAAGTATGGCAAGTGTTTTCCAGCATGTCAATTAGCTGAAAAATACTATATA